ATGTTTTTCTGTTCCTGAACTATTTTGTGTGCTGTAGGGAGGAAGATGCTACCTCACCAGGTTCTACATCCTTTATGAAAATGGATAAGGTGGCAACTGACCCTGCGCCTGCTACAAGTGAGAAACATGTATTAGTTTGTTCATATAATGTTTTTTTTTATTTATTAACTTGTTTAGTGCAACTTTATACAATATAGCATTGATTAGTGGTATAAGTTCAAATTAAAGATTTAAAGTTTTGTACCAGGAATGCTACAAAAATTCCATTTTGAATTTTTATTTGTACCAGCTAAACTTACTCCAAAATCTGAAGCACCTGTTGCAACATCGACATCTGACTCTGGAGGAAACGGTTGCAAACGCAAGCGCAAAATCCAGCTGGTCACCACAAACAGAGGAGATCAGATTTCTTTGGTAAGTAACAAAGCTGCTATTGATGCACATTTCTACCAGACATTTGCATAATAAATGTTCATCACTGTAACATTGGGTCCGCAGCCACCACCTCCTGAACTTGGCTATACTATCACAGTGAAAGATCTAGATATGGAAAAGAAAGCAGCTCTCAGCCAGATACAGAAGGTCTTGGAGGAGCCTGGTATGTTGTCTTCACTCTCACCTGGATTGGCTATAAAAACAATGAAATTCTTTCAGCTAATTCTGTTATATCTTAAATTTTTTCCAGAGCCAGAGATCCCTCCTCCTGCTTCTGAACCTACCCCAGCTCTGTCTCCCTCTTTAACCCTGTTCTCTCAGCCAGCACCAACCTCTTCATCTGGGACTGCACCTGCTGTGAGCTTCGTGCCCACTCTGATTTCTCTTTCCACACCTGTGCCTGAGACCACACCAGCCACTACTACAACTCCTGCTCCAACTATCGACCTCACCATCACTGCGCCCAGTGTGGCTAGTACTGCACCCCTGACTCTCACCTCAGCCCCCTCTGTCACTACCACCCCAGCTGCCCCAACTGCTCCATCTTCAAGCATCTCTAACCCTCTGCTGGAGTCCCTGAAAAACATGAAGAATAATCCGCTTCTCAGTGCTCCCACTCTAATGGGCACTACCACTGCAGGTTTGTAAGAAAGATTTTATAGATTTGGGGGTGATTACTATTATTATTATTATTATTATTATTATTATTATTATAATTCAGGATTTTTTGTTGAATGGAAAGTTCAAAAGAACACCCATTTATTTAAAATAATATTTTCTTTTTCCATCTTCAAGCATCTCTAACCCTCTGCTGGAGTCCCTGAAAAACATGAAGAATAATCCGCTTCTCAGTGCTCCCACTCTAATGGGCACTACCACTGCAGGTTTGTAAGAAAGATTTGATAGATTTGGGGGTGATTACTATTATTATTATTATTATTATAATTCAGGATTTTTTGTTGAATGGAAAGTTCAAAAGAACACCCATTTATTTAAAATAATATTTTCTTTTTCTTTACATTAAAAATGTAATTAACATATTTGATGTCACATAATTTGTTTTTTTGCTTAAGTGTTTTCTTTAAAAAAAATAAAAATAATAATAATAATAATCTTAATGACTCCAAACATTTGAACCGTATTTGTTTAAAATATAAAATATATTATTTCTTTAAAAAATATATTTTAGAGAGGCTTTTTTAGAACTGATATTGTATTTATTTTGGTACTGTTGTACACTTGATCATGCACTTTAACATGACCTTGTATGTCTTTGTCAACTTATACAGCTCCAGCAGTGTCTGTGTCCAGTCTTTCTACACCTGCTTCTGCCACAAACCCGAGCAGCGGACTTGTCAAATCGGAGTCAGGCCCTACCGCTCTGCAGCCTTTATTCTCTACCCCATCCTCCATATCAACACCTGCCTCCAAGCCAGCCACCTCTATGCCCTCTGCCTTCGCTCAGATCTTGGCCCAACCTCTTAAACCCCTATCAAGCATGCCATCCCTGGGCGGAGGAGGCAGCCTGTTCAGTTTGATTAAACCTGTGGCCACTTCTGCATCTGAGCCTCCTAAATCTACAGTCACTGCACTTACGACCACGGTTGCATCAGTCAATAGCATTAGCAACCCCCTGTCGTCTGGGTTTAAGCCCATTTTTGGTGCAGCAAGCACCACGCCTGCTTCCACAGCAGAGGTCAAACCCACCCAGCCAACCTTTAAGCCTTTATTTGGCACAGGAAGTGGCATTAGTACCTTCGGGCAGACAGCCACACCAACGACATCAACCCCTGCTGCTCCGGTTTCACAGAACAGTGGGATGTTATTTGGTGGACTAACCAGTACCCAACCAGTGACGGTGTCCGCATCATCTGCTGCCCCAATTACGCAAACTCCTTCCCCGTCTCTCTTTGGAAGCTGGACTGCAACAGTCACATCTGCTCCTGCCACAAACACCACGTTCCAGTTTGGAGCCACATCAACCACAACGGCTGCCCCTACGCTGAACACCAACACCACTAATGCTAGCAGCACCACCTCTGCTTTTCAGTTCGGAGCAGCAAAGCCTGCACCTGCCCCACAGGTCCAAAGCACATTCACTTTTGGCCAGGTGTCGGCAAACCAGAACTCCACATCCGCTCCGTTTGGTGGGTTTGGCATAACCAGCAGTGCCACCACATCCTCAGAGACACCCACAACACAAACCACTTTCAGGAGCTCAGCCTTCACTGCATCATCAAGCTTTCCAGCATCCACAAAGCAGACCCCTGCTGCTGCAAAGCCCTTCACGTTTGGGGCTGGCAGTGGAAGTAGCGGCACATCACCATTTGTGTTTGGAGCCGCAGCCAGCACAGCAGCGCCTGCGTTTGGGACTAACAGTCAGCCTACGTTCGGTGGAGCTGGCTTCTCTTTCGGAAACACCACCACCCCTTCTGCGGCTCCCGTCTTTGGGGCCTCCACACAGACTGTGGCCCCTCTCCCTGCCCCAGCTCCTACATTCACCTTTGGAGGGGCATCAACAGCCACTCAGAACCCTGCTCCGAGTACTCCGGCGCCTCCTGCCTCTGGAGGGTTTAACTTTGGGGCATCACTCTCAGCAACACCATTTGGAACCCTTACACCTGCAGCTCAAACGCCAGGGTTTTCCTTTGGAGCCAACAACACCGATAACAAGCCTGCTTTTGGTAAGTCTTTTTATTGAGAAAGGTCAGAAGGTTGTATTTGACATTGAGAGATTGTAGTGACTGATGATATATGTATATGCTCTCTCACATATCAGTATTTACCATTAAAAAAAACCCCAATATAACCACTATTGGTTTATATCAAGCACTAGTGTGTGTGTGTACATGTGCATATTATATATATTATCCATTATCTATATAGATATATGTATATATAGATATTGGCAATTATTTTGTGAACAATTTCAGTTTAGTTGTATCAGAATATTCAGACTTAACAGTTTTATGCAGCAAAATG